CCCAGTGATTCAGCTACCTTCATGCCCCAAAAAAAGTGTCGCCCAAGTCGTTCATGGCCAAGGCTTTGCCAAATTGTCCAAAGCTGTTCAACCAAAAACCACCTTTAGCAGACCTTTCCCCGCTAAAAAGCGAACCCTGAAGCCTGAAGACCGCAAAAGAACGACCCAACTCCGATCAGTCTCCACCCCCGGCTCTGTCGTCCGTCTTCGGCTCAGGGACATTTCCATGATCTGATCGGGCTCGAACCAGGGTTCATTGTCCCAGGCCGCGTCGCCGATCTCATCCCCCACCTCTTTGATCTTGGCATCCTCCTGGGTTTTTCACTCACTCACACTAACAGAGGTGGCGCCAACATGTACACGTGATATCACGTGATCAACATCAAAGTAAAGAAGGGTTGTTGAGCAACTGTCTGTACGCTATTGTATGTATGTACATGTATGTACTGTTTGGAAATGTCATCCAACACTAAGGAGTCCCATGACTGACCTCAATCCAAAAACACAGCAAAATGTTCCCCATTGTCGGGAAAGAAATTGCTCCTATCCTGCGAATGTTTGTCCCAGTGTGTCAACTTAAAGTAGTGTTGGTGTGTCATGATCCCACAGAAAGCTTTTTCTGTAGCATGATGCCCAAGGAAAGACGGAAGAAATGTCTGAAGTTTGTACGTCTGTCCCGTTTCTGTTGCCGGATCCGCATCATCCGCCTCCGTTGTGCACCGTGCATCATGCTGCATTATCATGCCGCATCATCATTGTTCGAACGAGTGAAGGAACGAGCTCCTTCTTCTTCAAAAGTCTCAGAAGTGCAAGCACTCGTTCCTCAACCTCCTGGACCATGGAGGCTGTGGACTGGCCTACTGGAACAGGTCGTACTCACAGCGAGAGTGATCCCAAAGAGATTGAAAGGGAATCCCTGTCAAAACAATATTTTGGGCTTGTTACATTGTTACAGGTCAAGGTTGAGGCTGGCTCTGAGATGGCTAGAGCCATACACAAGTAAACGAATGTATAATATATATATATATAAATTCCACAAACTTGGGAATGGCAAAGACTGGACACCTCAACTAGCCCTGCATGGCCCTGTTGTCTCTCCTCCGAGTCGGTCATCAGACACTAAAAAGGACCGGTCAAAAAGCACGGCTGCTGACGGCTTGAGCCAAACTGCTGCTTCGTTTTGGAAGAGTTTGTTGTTTGCTTGACAAGAAGCTACGTTCGGGGCTCCTGGCATCGCTACTAGGAGAAAGGATGCCACTAGGAGCAAAGGGCATCGCTACTAGGAGCAAGGACGCTACTAGGGGCTCCTGGTTTCAGGGCGAGACAACTCGGCCCACTTTTTCCAAAGCGCCGGTGGCCTGGGGCTCCGGACACTTGGCCACCGGCCTTCTCGCGGATGTCCTTGGGATGATTGAAGGGGACCCAGGGACCCACAGAGATGAGTCGTGTCCTAAGCATCGCATGTCATAGCCTTCTAAACTTCTACAGTAGCAAATACCAATCCATGCAAAAAAATTGAAAAAGTCCTTTTGCGTGAAGTAGGGTGGAGGCCATCGCTCTGATCCATCTCTCAATAGAGCACTCTTCCAACCGACAGTGGACAGCCGCATTGGAACTCGCAAACCGTCGGTGTCCATCGGTCAAAGCTGAAAATCTCGAAGTGGGCTCCCTGGATCACTGCTGAGCTTTTTGGATCTTTTCGGGGGGGGCTGATATTTCTTCGCATGACCAGATCCATACCAGATCCATTCATTCCTTCATGATTCCATCTTTGGTCTTCTGAACTGGCCCTCGATAGACCCGATCCCATCGCTCCACGCCGCCTTGATGCCGGCACCGCTCACACCAATCAAATGGCCCACCTGGCAGACCGGCGGGGCTTGTCGAGGTAGACCGGTCAGGGGTCAAACCCCGCCAGGCTTGAAAATCACAAGACCAGAGGGATCAAGAGGCCGTTGTGTTGGTTGAAAAAACTCCAAGCCCCGTGGGTCTTTTCTATCTTTTTTTGCTTGGTGGCGCGGCTCAGGACGGCCAACAAGGCATCAAGCTTTAGAAGAACCACCAAACCGGACACACCTCAAACACAACACGCCTGGAGCGGTCCACCGCCCGAGCGCGGTCGGACGGAGCCGAGATCCCGGCCACATCGCCCGGCACGATGACTTCATTCTCGTTGGGCTCCAGCGGTGGTGGTGGATTCCTGAAGCTCCAGCGGTGGAGGAGCACAGTGGTGGTGGTGGGATTTGCTTCACTTGGAATTGATCAACTTCGTAGCTCAATCATAGAATCTTAGCTCCTGCGCTTCGGGATAGATATAGCTGAGCTTTTGCATTATATAGCTATGCCTCAAACATCAGGTAAACCCATTGTTCAATCTTGTTGATGTCACGAACGGAAAACAAACCTAAGACTGCCTGCGGATTGCTGAGTCCTATCTCCAAGCCACATCCAACTAGTGCATGTTTGCAAAGAGCGCCACCATGCCATAAAGGCTAAGAGGCAATGATGGGAAGCTCTTCCAGGTGGTTGCTGCGTTAGATTATATATATATAACCATCTCTGTCCCATTTTGGCATGATTTGGTTTTAACATGCAACCAGCTGGCGAGGAAATTAGCAACGTTCAGCCACCATGGAATTGTTAGGGTGGTGGTGGGGCAGAACCCAATGTGCATCCCAGTTCACCCTAAAATTAACCAGCTTCCAACCTGTTGCTTCCTCAGCTGGGTTTTGCACAAATGATCATGTGACCGCCATCAAAAGCTTCATTACTTGTCGCCTGGGGTCATCTACGTGTGACTACCTGGCCAATTGTCTTGGTAAAGGTAAGCTTCTTTCAGAAGGAGAGGAGGAGGGAGTCAGAATATCTCACCCAACATACATGCAAGTCTTTTGCAAGTCTTCCTTCTGGACCCCTTGGTGGACGCTTTTTTCGGTGGAGGCCATCGCTACGAACGGAGCATCCAGCCCAAGCTGATCGGTCCAAGCCACCCATCCATCGGTAGGGGCGGGGGTGGAGCCTGCGCGAACAATGGAGACGTTTGGAGGCGGCAGATCCAGCCAATCACGCAATCCAGTACCCTCTCTCTTCCCTATTTGCTTGTGGATCAACACCAGCATCCAGCGGGAGAGAGTGTTAACCCAAAGCAGAACAATAAAAGGAACACTTGAGTTGAACGTGGGAAAGAAAAGTGACCTCGAGATGGTCTGCAACTGCAAAAGGCAAAAAGCCAGATTCCAGGTCCTCCAATTGCAATACCCAGGCTGGTTTGGGCGGGTCATTTACCTTTGTTGACCCTGAACAGCTTGGAGCAATCCACTTCATCCTGATGAGCGTTGGATGGGATACGTAGTCAAAATCCTGTTGACTGGAAGGTCAACCTCACATATGAGCCGTCAAACAAAAGGCTTCAGTCCCATGTCCACATCCTAGAACTAAAACACCCTAACCGCGCCAAGAGCTTGACAATCCTTGCATCCTTCGCTATGAATTTACGATGAAGAATTTGCTCGGCTCATAGGTGCCAGAAGAAAGACCCACGGTCAGAGAGCATGTTCGAGCACGCGATGTCTCCTTCTTTGGGCGCTTCACCTCGGCATGGGCCCTGGAGGACCCTGGTTTTCACCTGGATGGCCCTCAATGGCTCGAGCAAAGTGCAAGGGCCCTTCACCTGGCCCTTCACCTGGAAGTCACCGAGCAACACGCCTTCAGCATGCCCAATGGGCAGCCCTTGGTGGCCAAGGCCTCTTTGATCATGGCCTCGGTCCTGAGCGACGCGTGCGGGGGTCAAGCAGGGGCAGCGATGGGCTGAACGCTGGGCTCAGTGGGTGCAGTGGTTGCCATCTTCCTGCTGATGGTGATATGACATGCTTACGATGTAGGCGATGGGTGGTTGCTGTGATATTGCCATAGTGGAACTTTTTGACCTGTAGTGGAACATACAACCTTGGACCAAGCGCTCCTTTGCATCAGTCAATCGGTCACTGCTTCGCGGTTGAACGCAGTCGAAAGGCTGCTTCTACGCAGTGTGACCGTGGGCTCACGATGAAGGACCCGGTGATTGACAGTGTCAGTGTGTTTGCATTGTGAACATCATTGGTCAAACATGTGCAAGGATTCAACGATCTGGAAAAAAAGAGGAAAAACAACAACTAACATTCTTCTTCCTGAGTTCCAGACTTCTCGACCTCCCCCACGATCGTCACGTTGCCCTGAGGGTCCTATCTGCTTGCTGGGCGGCACACCCAAGACATGAACAGTCAAATCAGTAAATTCAAAAAAAGAACTGCTGATGAATAAACCCACAGGAGCGGAGATAAAGCCATTCTGTCTTTTCAATATTCACCTCACTAGCTTACATGACCCTCCCCGAGTTCCTACAATGCAACTGACACGTCAGTGGGTGTTGAAAATCTTCTTGGAGTGTCATCAAATTGTTTTAAAAAAGGAGTTTGATAGCAATGGCCTCCAACCTACAAGCGATGGCCTCCAACCTGCTGGCGATGGCCTCTAACCTAGTAGCGATGGCCTCCAACCTACTAGCAATGGCCTCCAACCTCAGGGTGGTCATCATTGGCTGAAACATCCAAGGGCCGCAGCCTGGGTTCGCCTGTTTCCATCGTCCAAATCATCCACCGTCGTAGGTTCCCGAGAGTGCCAGCTTGAAATGGCGTGCAATAGCACTCGTCCACTCAGGACTGAATTCACGGGGCTCCAGTCGAAGCTTCAAGATGCGCCAACTGGAAGAACTCAGTCGGTGTTTCCGTCTGAACGAACGAACCCATCATGTGAGTCGACTGACCTGGAACGATCGGCACCTTCTGGCCTTACATAGTTTTTGGACGATAGGATGACCCAGGCCCAGGGCAACCCATGAGGACATGCCGGGCCAAATGACAAAGGTATGTATAAAACGGGACCAAATCTGGCCAGATCCAACTCCAACAAACGAAGGTTTCTTGCTCTCGCTGTGGGGGCTTGTACACGCATAACTGTAGTAACTACTGGTGAGAGTCCTCCAGATAATTTCCCGAAGCAACACGCACGAAACGCCGCTCCGAGGGCAAGTGGTCGATCTTGATGTCTGCACCACTCCGCAGTCTGATCTCCTGCCACACATGGTGCCAGTCGTGTTGAAGATGTTAAAGGGGAACGCCAGGAGAAAACTCCGCGTCGCACACATCCATGTCCACAATCATCGATATGTCTACATCATACTGACTAGATATTGTTATTTGTGCACCATGAAAGACATTGTCTACTCTTCAATCTCTCTCTCTCTCTCTCTCATCCGGATTGAACAGATTGAAACCTGGAGAGCATGCCATCTAATGGAGCATCCATGTCTTCTCCTTGATGGTCTCGCCACCCTTACCAATGAGGGCGCGAATTTGCACCTCAATTTTCATCACCAGCTGAAAAACAATATGACCATGATTGTGAGAGTACAGCGCTTGCAGCTAGCGGCTTAGCCGTATCGTTTCCCTTCAAGCCAAGGTGCTCCCTCCATTCGGATGATCTTGAAGCGAGATGGATCAATACCTGGCAACCAGAGGGAGAGCTAGCTAGGGCTTTGCTCACAAGAGCGAAAGAGCCCCTCGCCAAAGCTGAAACTTCTTGCTCTGACGGTTGGTCCGCTTTAAGCCTGAGCTCGCTTGGTCACTCCAGGCTCGACGGAACGGCGGCGGACAATCATTGAAGCACCCGGAAAGAGATGCCGCGAAAAGAAACGCTTGGAGGGTAAAAAAATTGGAAAACTTGTCTGAATTAAGAATCATTGTGATGTGAACTGATGTGACATATTCATACCAAACAAACAGCATCAAAAAACCAAACGACCCAATGGTCATCTCCAGGAGGGAAATGTCAATGATGTTAAGTTGCAACTTTGGTCTTTTGATGTCTTTTGCGTGGTTCATGCGAGGACAAACAACTGAGCACTGACAAGGATGCTTAACCTAAGGCGGAGATTTTGGAGTGGTTGGAGGAGCATGGTACCCTCCTTCTGACCAACTTGGAGCTTAGTAATCACTGTAATTTGCTGGACGCAGGTGCTCCGAAACCTACTCTGCAGCAGTTACCACTGTGGGGTACGGTTAAGGGCTACCAGGCTGACCTTCTCCAGCAGAATGTTCTCCCACAAAAAACTGACCACCTGCGAAGTGGTGGGTGACTCCTTTTCGTGAGTAACAACCAGTGCCTCCCAGAAACATCCCTGACTCCCTCAGTTTGCCTGGAAAATAGTGCGGAACCGTTTTCTGATTTTTTCTGTAGTGCGGAAACCCGGAACTCCCAGCCTGGTGGTGCGGGTTGGCTCTGGTCATCCTTCTTGGCGAGGTCCTGGTCGAACATCAGTGTGCCCTGGGGGCCACCCTGCAGGGCCGCAATCAGATTCAAAATGATGCTGATCATTTCATTCTGGAGTTCCTGTGAATGTTCATGAATTGTCCGTCTGGAGTTCAGCCGTCTGTCATTCTGGAGCTCAGAACAGATTTGGTCCCAAATCCCGACCAGCTGGACCAACAGCCAGTGTGCTACGAGGACCCAGTGCCTCCTTTCTCATGGATTTATGGACTGAGGGAGGGGTTAGAAGCGGTCATTGGCTGTTCGAACAAATTACAGACTATCAGTTAGCCTATCCTTTAAGCCAACATGATCAACATCTGCCACGAGATGTTAACCGTTGTCCAAATCTGCCCACTCTGAGGGGGTTCGGGGGTGTTACAGCGTCCTTGAGCCAATCTGGCAAGCCAGCAGAGGGATCACCCATCTCATCCCACCTCAGTTTTAAGCTCTTGCGCACAGGCCCTAGAGGGGCAAGAATGGATTGGGCCCACTTCAAGCTTGACCGGCTAACCAGTCAAGCTGGATGTGCGCCCCTAATTGCTCTAGCAAACCATGCTGAAGCAAGTCATAGAACTGTGGCAGTCAGAGCTCTGGTGTTACCAATTCAATACTCTGCGGTGATTTTTGGCCACCATGTATCTCAATTTGCTTCATCCAATTTCACCAATTGGTGCAAGGTCATTTGCGAGCAAGGATGTTCATGCTGAAACCACACCACGACAATATATACCTTGGCAATATACCCTGACCAACTAAGACCCTCAGGCCGTATCCTCAAAGGGGCAAACGCCAATAACATGGAACCAGGCCTCCCGAACACAGCTTAAATCCCAGATCGCTGTGTTCCCATTTCTGGTCACTGCAGGGGTTCACAACTTGGTGATAAAAGCACGTGTCAAGTGGCTTGGACTTCTTCTTCTTCTTTTCTTCACCTTCCTGGCAGGGGCAATGAATCGCTTTGAGAAAGCGGCACCTCCCCTCCCCTGCGCAAGGAAACCTTTCGAGCAAAAAACAAGGGGTTCCTTTTATTCGCGGATATAGATACAGCCTGCGTGTGAGTAGCTGCAGCCCTTAAGGGCCGGTTGCCCCGGTGCGTACCCCGACACCTGTACTTGTAGCTCTCCAGCTTGGGTGTGAGCAAAGGATCATGATTCGCACAACCAATCAGCCCTTACAACCCCAGAAACAACACAATCTTTCCCCAACACAGCTGCCCGGAGCGGGCAGCACAGGAAATCCAGCGCCTCAGCAGCACCTCAGCAGCTCCACAAAGCACGGGGAGAAGAAACTCTCACCCGTCACCCGTCCACCGTCCGTGTACCCTCGACGAACAGGATCCCTTGAGGGATGCTGACGAACGGGTGGATGCGAGACCAAAGGTAGCGGAAAGAGACGAAAAGCAGCCGAGCAAATCTTGCTTTACACCTGTTCTTGAGAGTCAGAAAATGTCAGAAGCCAAATATTGGAAACGCCTACTCCCAAGCAACACACTGAGAGTCCACAGTGCAATCAGATCAACCTATTATATAAACATATAATCTCTGGTGTTTGTGTTATCATAGTAGCAGGGACTCACCTGAAGTCCCGACGTGGCAGGCCACTTAAATGGCTTTGTATTTAATTGCACAGGGTCTGTTAATTCTTCCACCTTCAATGATTGGGATAGCCTCAGCCTCATGTACCCCCATGTCATCTTTGTTGCTGCATTGAACTGCCCTTCGTCAACAACCACTCATTCCACCACGAGACAAAGCTTTCAAACACTCGAAGAATGTCCGAACACAAATCAAGCCAAAACCATCCTGAAAAGGACTGGCTGTGCCTTTGCAAGTCTGAAGCTTGGATGGACTGCCGAAAAATATCAGTGCTGGTGCTGGTGATGTTTGTTGATGGAGAAACGACACACTCCCGACTAAGGTCTCTGCCCGCCGGAGGGTCCTGCGCTTGTGCCAAAAACAGACAAGGGACCCAGGAGCGTGCTTGAAACATGGGTGAGCCATCCCAGCCTATGAGAAAAAGGTACAGTAGTAATATGTGGTGATTCTATGTCATTCGCATGACCAAACCAGTCTTCCAGTTCAAGAATGCATGGGCCCCAAACTCACTTGGCAACCAAAGGGCTTGGAAAATCCAATGAGTCTCAATGATTCTCCTGAAACATGTCCTTGATTCTCCTATGTCACAGGCATCGTCTCGGCATTTCCAGCCCATCTATGTCTCACATGTAGGTTGCCATAGTTGACGGAGGTGAGTACTTCCACACAAACAACTACAAATGGCATCCCTCAGCGTCTCATCCAACGCGGGTGTCCACCCTGCGGGGCGTAAGCACAGCGCGCTGTAGTCAAGCAAGTCCCCAGCCTTGGAAGCAGGAGAAGCCGGAGGCTCAGCGAGCTTTGGCATTGACCTGAGTCCATCAGGGCCGTGGCGGTCCTGGATGGATTGATTCAATGTGACATGTGCGACATGGGCTATTGTGTATTTTGTGGCACAAAGAATGAACTGAACATGAAATAAGTCAAAAACAAATGTCAAAATATATGTTGCGTCAAATCGCCCCAGAATGTGACGCCATGCAAAAACGTGTTACACTGTCACCTTCGACTTCACGTGAACTCGTTTGTTCCACCGTCGCGCAGTCTCCACAGACGATGGCAACTTGATAACAGTAAAGTTCGTTTTGAAAAAAAAGCACAGGTTACAAAAAAGGGAAGGAAAACACAGAAATAAAAACACAGAGAAAACGTAAGAACAACTGTTTTACTGTTGATGTTGTTTTGCGTTTGGGTCTGAATCCTGGAAATGGCCCAAATGCCTGGCCCAAGCCATCCAGCTCCAGCCGAGATGCTCCGGAGAGATGGCGGAGCGCTGACCCGTCCGGCGGCTCCGGGAGGGGCTGGAGCCCTGAGACCAGTGACGAGGACGTTGAGGCAAGGCATGGTATTCACCGCATTCACCCATCTGAAATTCGGAGGCGAATCAGTGAGAGTGCGTAGATAGTGCTAGAAGTCATACAGTTCCGCACATGTGATACACATAAACAATACCTATAGTCTCACCTTGTAGATATTTGATCTATCATGGTTATCCGTTATTATACGGTTATATATAAAGTCACAGGTCGTCCACTATGCTGCTATACCCGTTCACACACCTTCCAAGGCACAAGGGAAATCACACACCCCAAGTCCGAGTATAGAAAAATGTTGCCGGGCGTACCTGTCTCTCCAACAAGGCTTGAAGTGTTCAACAATTCTGCCGAGCCTGTCCTCAAGTAGATGGATTGCCCTCCCTCCAGTAAGCATGGAAGTGGACAACCCCCTGTTTGTAGAGGAATATGATAGTCCCAAGGAACATGTTTCACATGATTGTGGGAGGGAGAGTATGAGATACATTTAACTTCAAAAGAACATCAGACAGGCTCGGCCGGGTCAGCAAAACATAGAAACTGCTTTGAGAAACCCGCTTGGCCTCCTTCTTGCCTCTATCCTGCAACGAAGCAAGGCTTAGGATCTCCGCACGGCTGGATGCCGGTTTGGCGGGCAAATGAATCATTCAGCAGCCCCCGAGCTTGTATGGAACAATGATTGAAAACAAACAGGACATGAACATAGCCTATCTTTTGCCAAACCAAAGAAACAGGACTACATAAGCATCAAAACATGTCAAGACTAGTCAGCCACGGTGCGCACTAGTCAGTGTTCGTCATGAACCTAATGAGTCCATCAGCAAAGCTGGAGGGGCAAGGGTGAAGAATCACAAGAAAGTAAACAAGCTCTGGGAAATACAGTCCTTCTTCTCCCGCTCTCGTTCTCTTTCGCGTTCACGTTCTCTTTCCCGTTCGCGTTCGCGTTCTCTTTCTCTCGCCTAAGTTGTGTAGGTGATGCTAGGTAAAGTTAGGTGGATGACTGGTACTGCAGCTCCTCAACATCCACGACAAAAAAAGGGCCTAGCTTGGAAGACGCCAATCCGGCTACCCAAACTATCTGTCTACTCATTGGATTCCATCTCTTTCCTCCGCCCAGTGGCCCTCTTCCGCCCGCGACTGCTGCTACTCCTGGTTCGAGGCATGCAAAAATTGCGAAAAAGAGACTGAAAAGCCCGAAACATGGGCCAAGCAATGCGGTGATACACCTTGAAAGAGATATGGCATAGTCATTGTGCATAGCACATAATATACATAATGCTATCATATGCTTGCAGACGGTACAAATCATCCTCTGCTTGGTCAAAGGTGCATGCAACATTTCCCTGAGGTATAATCTAACATAGTTGCATGTCGAACCCCTTGTCGAACCATAGTTCATCCCAGTCTCCTCCGTCTTCGACTGCGGCGCCTTTGTTGGGTGCACAATCGGCGGTGAGTTCCGCTCGGCTGGGCCAAGGTTTCGAGTGAGAAAACCCACGCAGAGAACCAAAGGAAAAGCACCAATCCACCACATTCACATGTCCTTCGGGCAACACAAATCTCAAGATCTCTGGATTTCTATGTCCAGATCGCGTCACGATGGTCGGTGATGTCCGAAGCTAGAAAGCTGGGCACATGTCACAAATGTAGACTCTGCAGCTGTAGATTCCCATAGATTTCTTGTGAGTACGTTTCACCAACCCAAAGCCAAGCCTTTTTTGGTCAAAGCAATACTTCAGGACGATGCTTCAAAATGCAAACAGAGAGCTGCCCCATAGAAAAGTCTTCGCCACACCCATCCTTACCCTTTCAAGGCTGGTTGTTTATTGCGCAGCCCACAACATCCATCCTCGACACCCGTCCTGACCGCCATCCGCAGCCCGAAACCGGGGCGGTGAGAAACCACGGGCCTCCGACTCCGGCGGCTGCGGCTGCGGCTGCGCCGGCGGTCCTCGAGCAGCACTGGTCACGGGTTGGTTCAGAAGGAAATGAATCATGTTCCAAAATCATCCCATACTATGGCGCTACTGTTATGTACTGTTATTATAGTTACGATATGGCAGTTACATTAGATATGTTTTTGCATAATGTTGCATAGTATGCATCTATACTATCATTGATATTGCTGCAGAAGAGTGGGGCATGAAGCCTGTGGGGTCGCTCCCGGAGGCTGACCAAACCCTGCACTAAAGATACCCTGGAAAGGATGTTGTCGCGGTTCCTAAGTGATTTACTAGCACAAACACCAGAGGTTTCCCATTATAACACTGCTTCAACGTGTTGATTTCAATAGCATTCCAGTATTCCTCCAAGCAGCAAGAGGTGAAGAGGAGAAAATCCACTTCAGCGAAAACGAAGGCCCGCGCTAGTGCTGATTGCGAGCGAAAGAGAGTCCTGGACGCTGGACTCCATGGATCTACTCAGCCTGATACCATACGAAGTAAACCCCTGTCAGAATGTATTGGAAGCATTTGGATGTCTTTCCTGTTGAACATATTCCTGGCGAATCATCTCAGCAAGCGAATTTGCTGTGTGTGAGTGTGTGTGCGGGGACCTTTCTCTCCGTTCAGTGCATTGTCTGCATTGTCTTTTCTGAACTTGGCCTTTTGGGTTGAAAACAAGCTGAATTGCTTGACCGGGTGGAGTGTCAGAGGACTTGGTGTGATGTTGGTCATTCGAGACACCGAGATCGATTCAATATACTTGTGATAAATATGTACTAACTTATGTCACTTATGTAGCTCAACTAAAATTAATCTAAATGCACATGTGTGCACGTCAGTCGCGTCACCATCAAAATAATGTGAATATATGCTATTCATTATATGTATATACATGTATATACTGTATATAATTACATGTGATTGCAGGAATGTGTTTTCAGGAGCTGTGTACAAGCTGCTCCCGCTTTCATCACACGAAGTTCGCCATCGCGTCCTTGTCCCTCCTGTCTCTTGAGCGTCCGCCACCGCGTGATCGGTCCTGGCCCAAGCGGTTGATCCACCGTGGGGATGGAACTGGGATTGACAGATCCAACGTAGAGCAACCCCCGTCCTTCTGAAAGGTGCCCGGGATCAAACATGCACGTTCAGTCAATTCAATTTAATATGGAAGTCTGGTGCTGTACAGGTGGATTTGGCAGATGCAGGTGCTGTGCACCAGGTGCTGTGCAGGTGCTTCAAAGGGAGATCCAAGCAGATCTGGCCGTTGAAAACCATGCCACTCGGCACACGCCAAGATCGGTCCACTCGGTCGCGGCGGTCTCGATCTCGACTACCTGACACCCAACCGTTGCGGGGGTGCCACCGAACCCGAGGAGACGAGGCTCGCCAAAGGGCCAAAGAGATTCAAAAAGGAAGGGGTGTTTTGTATTTTTTTGAAAACAATCAAACAGACTTGGAAAAAAAAAACGAGGAGGCAGATTGTCCAGCAGAGTTTGCAATTTTTCATGCAAGATCATGCAAGGATTGCACTTTCACGTAGATTAGTCAGTCCACTGGGGTTCCGCACGTCGATCGCGGCCTGCGGTTCTGCGCCGGTTTCTTCTTCGGTAAGAAGAAGAGCGCTTCACACGGGGACACCCGGTTGGGTAAAAGAAAATCCCCCAGCCAATGACTTGCTAAAGCAAGAGTAACTCCAGCTAGCTGACGCTAGCTTTCGTGATCTCCATCCATCGAACAACCCGTTTGAGGTCATGCCTGGCATACACGAAGGGAGGAGTTCCAGGTCTGCACTCCTCTCTACAGAAAGCACCTCCATTTGTGGAGGTAAATTGCGTGCATGAAAGCAAAGCCTCAAAGAAAGGTATGGCTTCTCTGACTTTCAGAACCTGCGTTCCTTGGGTTCTTGTTCGGAACATCTCGAAGTCTGAGTTTGTGCTGCCCCGGACTTCGGCTGGGCTGCACGGCTTCGGCTTCGGCTGCGCCGACTTCGGCTGCGGCTTCGCCGGCTGCGGCTGCGACTCCTCTCCTGGAAGGAAACACCCGAGGTGTGAATTGAGGTTAAAGGCTTGGTCGGTCGGTCGGTCGGTCGGTCTGTTGGTTGCAAATATGGGCTGATGTTCCCTTTGAAGCCACTGATGTTGTTTTTGCCCGTCGAAGAGATACACGAGCCCCAGCTCATTTGTTGAACATGATTTGTTTGGGACTCTTGGAAGACGTCATTTTTTGGTGCTAACAGTTGTTGATCCCTAGCACACTAGCTATTTGTTCAACAGTGCGCCGAAAACATGACCAAACTTGGCACAGATTCGCTGGCCTGACTCGTCATTTTCTTCATGGCTTCTTGGAAGAAAGCAGGCCAGTAAACCGTGGTGCGGAACTGTTCCAGCAAAAGGAGGTGCAAGTATGTGCAAGTTATATAGTTGGAAGAGCCTCTCATCATGGCTTGAGGGAGGCTTTTGTGGGAACTACCAGATCTCCAAGGAAGGACCCACAACCAAGAGGAAACCAGGCAGGCAGAGAAACCTAACCAGGAGTGGCGCAAACAGGTCAACCAACCACGCCTGGACAAAACAAAAAGAGACTACCCACAAAGGTCATGCAATATATACTGTTAAGACCTGTTAAGCGCCATGTCATCCACCAATGAACACAGCTCCTTCTTTTGGTCCTTCTCCTGACCAACAGGGGCCGCTAGTCTTGGAATGCCTGTTTTGAACATGCGTCTATTGCTTGACTACAGAGAATCTGAGTGAAGGCATCTGCTCTTGGTGGCTTCGGGCCTTTTTTGTGGCCCACCAAATAACCAGAGGTTGTTCAGAATTCCTGTCTCGGACCAGAGGTCGGAAATGGCCATACATGTCTCTGAAAACTGAAAACTCGCAAGCCGAGCAACTGAATCTTTCTTTGGCTCCTGCAAAGCAGTCGAAGCATCTCAGGCTGTGGTCAACTAGAGAGACGTGTGCAACACTTTGAATGAAAAGATCATCTGAAAGCCTGATGGATGGGGACGGCTTGGTTATTTCAGACACACCCCTATAGCCTATGTCCCTGATCCCCTGGAAGAGGGTTGGTTGTAGAAAGCCAGTGCCACGTGGCACTCTCATCGTCGATGCCTAAGTGCAGCCAGGCGACTGGTAGCGCTTCGTCCTTCTTATTGGCACTCTCCAGCGCTGCGTCCAGCAAATCAGCTACCTGCACAGGTTTGTTTGTGCTGCGCAGCGGTTTTTGTTGCATGAGAATCGTCCCAAGCAACGCAATTTTTGTTGTGCATGGACGAAATGTCCTCCTTTTCCCTTCTGAATTAATCTTACCTGAAGAGCCAGAGCCATGGGCTGTGGGTCATAGTATGCTGCAGCCCTCCAGAACACCATAGAACAACAATGGAATGTGCCGATTCGAAGCCTTACAGTATACTGTAACAGCAATACATCATAACACCCCGCCAAACGAAAAGAAGTGTTGGAACCACACAGCATGTTTGTTGATCTCAGGGATCCTTGAAGCCACTCGGCTTGAAGTTGGATCACTGCAGCGAGTCCACACGTAAAATGTGCCGGCTCACTTTTGGGCCTACAAACAATGGTGGCCCTCTTATGGATAACAGCCAATTTGTAGCCCAGGTTTTTAGGTGGGCTTGGTATCTTTGTAGACTTACTTTCCATGCCGCCCCTCCGAAGTCCAGCCTCATCGTCAGCCATTTGGGCCTTCACCTCACACCGCGTTCGTTGCAAAAAACCACCAGAAAGTCAGCCAAAAAAAGCATTCCAAGTGTTCAACCCTGGTTGGAAGGCTCTTTTCAATGCGTTGAACCGTTCTAAGAGCACGTACTTCAGTCCGAGTCCCTACAGCCCAGCTCGCCCCGGCGGAGCAGAAACCCTTCGGCGTCCGCCTCAGCCCGGCATGGCCCGACCGCAGAACCGAGCAAAATGGTACCGCTGGCGCACAACCCGCTCGCTGGAGCCCGGACGCGCTGCGGGGGCGGAAATAGAGGGTCAGCTAAATAGAGGGTCAGCTTGCGATCAAAATCGAAATGGTCAGAGAGTTCACAAGAAAGAAACACAATACAGTATCTGTTTGATTCTTTTTGGAGTATCATGTGATTGGTTTGGAGTTCGTCCATTCCAGGCTTTGACCATCCCTCATATTCCGTGTGAGCAGTGACTACTTTCCACCATGTCAATGAGTGAAATCGAACCTGGTATCTGAGAAGTGTCTGTCTTATTTGCCATAGCCTGTTGTTGTGGCACTAGTCTAGTGAATCTATATATATATATATCCAAGAGGGATGGTCCGAAGTAGCGATGGTTGCCCAAGAGCGTGCACTGAGGATATGGCAAAACAGGATGCGAGACACGGCAAAGCGGTGTCAAATGAATCGAATGCCCTTCTTTCCTCGAACCCTGCACAACTGCGATATGAAGCATCGCTAATGCCTTTATGAGCACAAGTGGTTTCACTTGCATCCCCGCTACCTGCTCCTCATCTTTCCGTCTTTCATTGTCCAACACCAACACACACAAGAAGCGAACCGAAGACGAAAGAAAAGAAAAGAAAAAGAAAAGAGGAACCAAGAACCCCAAAAAAAACCGAAATGGTCACATTTGTTTGTTTTGTTGTTGTGGTTCATGCGGTTGCTGTAGGGCTTCAAGTCCCTGCTGTCGCCGCTTCCTTGCTGACATCATGTTCTCGTCCGTCACCAGTCTCCATTTATAGCCCAAGGTGAAGTAGTGGTGTAATTCCTTAGCATGTCCCTTAGTCAGGCCGTTTCCTAACTGTGCCTCACTGTGTACCCATCGGAGAATAACACCTGTTTCACGCTGTGAATGTTTCAGACATAACAATTCAAGGTCAGCTTTCTTCTCAGCACCCTTGATACTAAGTTCAGTGGTCTGGAGTTTATCGTATACGTTTCTGCTATCTGAGATGAGGCATCCTGGAGTGGTCCTTACGACTGAGTCAATGTCAAAAATGTTCACGTCCTGATTGAGCATTTCACTCCACTGGAATCTAGCATGATACATGTAGTCCTCACCTGCTACTGCAGCTCTACCTTCGGCTGCACCTGGACTCCGGCATTGGCGGTCAATTTTGTTTGAATGCCAAGCAATAGGTATGACTTTTTCCACTTCTCCCTGAAGTAAAGTCAAAGGTCCCAGTCCAACAAAAATTCCCTGAGTACTGCTGCCGTCCTGTCGGTTCTGTCCAGCGGCGTCACACCAAGTAAACATTCCAACAGGAACATGTTTGGGAATGGCATGAATGATCATCACATGATCCTTGTGGGCCTTAGCAAAGTACACCAGTTTGTTAGTTTTTGTGTATCGTTTCAACTGTGCTTTGACTGACTTCGGATAGGAGTAATCCGACCTCGGCGGACAGGTGAGGGGCAGTTTGTTGGGCATACCAACTGAGTGCACCGAGTGTGGCTCGGAGTTGAGACTTCTCTTTGTCTGTCGTCAACTCTCCCTTGGCCTTTCGGCGGGAAGCATTTAAAAAGATTTCCGGTATCTTTTCTACATATTTGGTCTGGCTCAAGTGGTAGGAGCCATCAGGTTGCGCCTCCACAAGCACTCCACATTGGGTGAATTTGCCTGTCTCCCAATCAGTCCACTTGAAGTGGTTTCGGATCTTCTCTTCAAGCATCTGCCACTCTTCATTATCAGGTGGTCCAGCGAAGAGAAAGTCGTCAACATGGCCAGAGATCATTCCCGTCAAAATGCCATTTGGCTTCCAGAGCCAAGTGCATGGGTCAGCCCATGATTTGACTAGGCCCAGTGTGTTCAGCAGGTCGCTAATCGTTCTGTACCATTCCAGCGGTGCATCAACTAAGCCATAACACCCCCGCTTCACACGGGTGATACTGCCTTCTGGTATGTTCATGGCGGTGCAGATTTCTTTGACTGGTATGCAGTACAATTCCTGGGGATATGTCCGGCCCTGGAGAAAAGCGCCAGTGACATCTCCCTTCTTTACACACCAGCCAAATCGTCCTGCTGCTGCAAATAGGAATTGCCTCGATTGGCGTGTCATCACTGGCGATGTCGTCTCCCTGTCTTCATATGATGGGTCTTGGTAACCCAACAAGATGGCTCGGGCCTTAGCCTTGTGAGTGCCATCATCTTGCATCTTCCAAGTGAGCAGCCATCTCATATTTATTGCCTTCTCTTTTGGAGGTCGCAGTTCTGGTGGTAGAGCCTCAAAAGCTCGTGCGGCAATGTAGTTCTTCACCTCTGTGCCTTTTGCGACTTCGAATTTCTTTTGGTCTTCAACGCTGAGCTTCTTTTCATTCACTTCAATGGCCCTTCTCTTCAAGGCCCCAATGAAATAGGCGGTGGGATCTTCTATAAACTGTTGCAGTTCTTTCTTGGTTTCTGGCATTCTCAGATCGATCTCTATGGCACTTTCCGTGTCTGCCCAGAAGCAGTCACCGGAGGCTTCTTGTCGGCTGATTTCTGTGGTACGATCATACCATGCTTCTTTGGCCACAAGAGCATCATCATCTACTGGTTGTCCATGTCGAGGTCGAGTAGGATTCGGCAGGCTTCTTTCTGGTCCATCACCAATGCGCTTTCCCAGTACTCTTCTTCTGGGTGGTTCTGAAGTCTCTGGATCTGGCATGGGAGAATCTTGAGCTTCTTGCCATTCCGTTTGGGACGGACACTCTTTGGTGAGGTCCTCAAACTCATTGCCGCCTAGTCCTTGTGTCAGGCGCTGAAAAGTCCATGGAGCTTTTTGATCTTCATCTTGACAGATGGTCTCCAGAAGTTCTTCTCGTTGTGTGGCTGGCCTCAGTTGTTCTGGGCAGCATTTGAGAAGTCTTCTTCCTCGAATCACCCAGATGCTGCTACCTGCGCGAAGACTTCCATCAGGGTCACGATGGGTCTCCGTTGCCAGAATTCTTCCGGGTCCCAAGAAGCATCCCTGCTTCTGTCGCTGACTGCTGGATGCGGCACCGGAGATTTGTTTCCTCCAGTAGTAAACTAGGTCTCCAGGGTAGTAGACATATTGTCTGTTGCCTCTTGAGTTCAATGCCTTGGAGATCTGTTGTTTTGCCGTCCATTCTGCATGAGCCTGTTCAGCTTGTCGTCTCACCTCGATGGTTCTCTGAAAATCATCTCCTGAGGGAGGAAGCAGCTGGTCCATGGCCTGACCCGTCAGGGTCTGCAAGCATCGTCCTGTTTCATCCGGAGCTCGTCCTAGTGCATGTTGAATTGGAGAAAAACCTCGAGTCATATCTCGGACATTGAAGGTCCGAACTGCTTCGGCCAGGGCTTCTTCTGGAGTCAGTTCTGGGTTCTCAAGAACCAATTTGGTCATCAGTTCTTTGGTGCCTTGTATGGCCTGTTCGCAAGTTCCAAGCTTCCAGTGCGCTTCACCAGGAATGAAGTCCAGGTAAATTCCATGGATGTCACAGTATCGTTCTACTTCATTGCTTCGGAATGCTCCGGCGGGATCGAGCCGGAGGGTCTGAGGATTGCCAAAATATTGACTCCAACCCTCACGCAAATAAGAGATGAATTGACTCGCGTTCATGGTCTTGTGTTTTCCTTTGCACATCACTCGGGCCGTCCGAAATTGAGACCCTTCATCAATAACCAACAAAAACTCACTGTGTTCTCCAGTGTGGGGGTGTATCCACTTTCCACCATCAGCACTGATAGTGGCCCACTTAGGTGGGAGTGGTTCAAGACTAGCGGCATGTTTGTGAGTCAATTTATGTCTTTCCTGGCAAACATGACATGTGAACTGCTTGGCAAGGTGCAAAACAAAATCAGAAGCTCCGCGCTTACGAAGTGCTTCAATCATGTGTCTCGTACTTCCGTGTCCAGTGGCGGCATGCAACTGATAAATTTGTTTCTTCACACGTTCCACGTCCTCTTTGGTTTGTTTCGTATCACTCGTCAGTTTCGTTTGCACACAAGCCATTTCGGGCGTTTCGTTTGGTTTGTTCAACAGCGTCGTTTCCAAACAAGCTCCACAAGTCTGCACATGTCCGTGTTTCTTCAGTTCACTACACACACACATGGTGCCGGAACCAAAACTCGCACACAACTGGGAGTCTCCTCCCATTTCCTTCACAAGCATACCATGGCTAAATTCCTGCTCAATGGCTTCCGCCACTCTTCTAGCAAACTCTTTGGTGTAAAAAGCACTCATGTGAGTCAACCGACCCTCACACACCACATGTTTGTCACTCTTCGGACACTTACATGGGAGATCAAGCATCATGGCCATCCTACGATGAGTGGTCATGACTTTCCAACCCTTGTGCAACAGACCTTTTCCCTTAGGGTCCCGCAAATTGACCTGACATCCATTCACCACCGAACACCAAGGTTGATATTTGTGGATAAGTTGTTGGATTAAGGGCAATCTCCACGCTTGACACTTTTGGGCCCATTCCCATGAAACATGAATCCCCTTCTGAGTGGCGTAGTGCCACACGCAAGCGGCACCGACATACTGCTTCATGACGGATCTGCGTTTTTCCGCAAGTTCCTCTCGTTGAGAGTCGGTACGTTGATTCAAATTCTGCATGGGAGAAAATGGTCCGCACTCGGTGCTGATCCAAATGTGCTTGGGATGGTATTGATCAATCTGTTGAAGGATCAGTTTGACGCCAGCAGAACTAGTAAGGTCACAGCCGTTCCAGTGCGAACACCTGATAGCGGCTTCACGGTAACCCGCTCGGTTATGGATTTCACTGCTCAACACACTGTCAGGGCTGCAAGCAACCTCCATTAACCACGTTTTTCTTTTTCCGGTCTTGTCAACAAGACATTGAAACATACGTGGTAGGTTTCTATGTGTTTCCTGTTCTAGGTGCCGAGCAGCTGCCTCAGAGAGTTGGCGTGTTGTCACTGAGCTGGTTACGGGAAGGTGGACGCTATCTAAGGTCTCAGCCGAGTCACTCAGATCTTCGTGAAGCTGTCGTCTGAGCCTGGTGTCTTGTGGGCCCTCTTTTGGCTGGAGAGTTCCGCCACCTCCTCCTTGAGTTCCTTCACGGTCTCGGTGAGGATTCCCATCATTTCCATGACTGCCGTGGACGAATTGGCACTCCCAGCTGAGCTGGCTGCTGACTCTTGCTTCACTCGAACACGTGTTGGAGCTGGTGTCACCATGGGTGTGGGCTCGTCGTGATGATAGCCCTGTGTCTTCACAGGGAGGATCTCGGCATCCTTGGAGTCGAACATCTTGCGCTCCTCGGCAATGAGCCATTGGGCAAGGCGACTCAACTGGGGGCAACATCCCTGCGGTCTTCCTTCCATGTAGTCCGGACCCAGTTGCAGTATTGGGTGTCGGACCGGATCTCTGCATAGGTCAGAGCTGCTGCCTTCCCAAAGCCCACCGGGTCCATTGGGTCCGGTGTACTCTTCTCGTAGATGCGGATCATGGCGGCTTTCTGAAGTTGTGGTTTGGTCTCGTTTCCAGTCACTGGAATTCCCAAGTCGCGGCAATGCTGCTGCAACGTGTTCTTCCGGCTGCTGGCCTTGTTGAGCTGCACCACCATCTCGCGCATGTCGGTGCGCTGATTCTTCTTGGTGGGAATGCCGCGTTCCTCGTAGATCTGGAGGACCCGTGACCGCAGTTCGACGACTCCCCATTTTTCCGGAGGAGTCTCGCCCTGCTTCCTGAGCTCTTCGATCAACTCGGACTTCTTCATTTGGCTCACCATGATGATCGAGACGCTGGGGACCGCCAGGACAACACGTCGAGCTCACGATACTTGGGCTGCTGCTGCATGCGTGTCCGGTGTTCAAATGAAAAACGTGACAAATGTGACTATTCACACAACCAAAACTGAACCTAACATCATCAAAGAAAGAAGAAATGCACGTTCGAATCGACGGATCACTCAGGATATCGCGGAAAGATGATTCACAAAGCCTCATTGGAACCTGATGTTCACCCTTGACCTCTCTTTCTCTCTCAGGCTGAAGATCAGAGAGGAGCTGTCCCTAATGCAGGAAGTCCCTGAGGCTTGGGACCTGTCGATTGCAGGTCTTCGCATGTTTAAAAAGATCCTCGGTCAAAGGCAGGAGCTGGTGTCCTGCTGCCGAGCGCTCGAGGGGGATGATCTTCGTATCGTCAAGTCCCCTCAGTACCAAAAGGTCGGCCTCAAAGTCTATGATGGCCTTCAACGATCGGAGCGTCTGGATGGACAACAGGATTGGACCACTTCCACGATCCAGAGCATGGATCTGCAGCAAGCCTGGTTGCTCATTCGCAGTAACCTGCAGCTGAGTCGTAGAGATGCAGCGGTCTTGAGAGCTGTTGCCAAACCCAAAAGTGGGTGTATTGTTGGTGTCTACTCCTTGGATGCGATGGTTGCCGTACTTCTTGGCATTGATGTCCATGACGGCCTGGATAGCCTCGACGCTCCCCAGCGTCTTTGTGGCTCCACCGTCAATTACGGCGCACCCCTCATTCACAGCTGCCTGTGTAGTTTTGGCCGTCCCAGCTTCTGCGGTGAGGGCTGCCTCATCGCTGAAGCAAATGAATGGTGCTGCTTCAGTAGCCACATGGCTCTGGGGCTTTCCATCGGATCCTTGGCGCTCTGGGCATTCATTGGTGCGGTGTCCCTTCCCGCATCGCAAACATGTCTCCGAGGTTGATGAACTTGGAGGCTTGTGGTAGGAGAACATGGGCCGGTCTCCATAGGACCGTCGGCTGGTGTTTGTGGTCTTGTAGTACTGCCGGCTCAACTTGACTTGGTGTTGTCGTGCCCGAGCTTCTTTCAAAGTGCGCTTGCCTTGTTGGATCAAGGCGTATGCCTCCTGAGCGCGCTCTTCGGCGGCACTGTATAGGGCCTGTCCTTCACCATTGAGGTCATCCACCTCCCATGCTTCCTCCTGGTAATTCACTGGTAATCGGTGAAGTCCGGCTCATAGTCACCCCCATCATCAGCCCAAAAACCGGCATGTCGGGAGTTCTGGTCATGCCGCCGGAGTTCTTCATCCGGCCACTGGAGTCGGAGTTCACGAGAAACTCGCTGTAGAGAGAAGTCATCCTGGAGGGCCGTTTGGATCATGTTCCTTTCTGTGCTCTCTAACCCGGAGTCCATCAGGAGATACCACCCCTGAAGAAACTCAGGCAGCAGTTCCTCTGTATGGAGCTTCCATGGTTCATCATCGCTCTCTCGACGTGAGTGGTGCCAGGAGTTTGAGGCGGGTGCTTCGCTCATGGGTTCATACCACTGTTCTTCATCACCGGGGTGGTCACTCTCAGCATGGTCCTGTGAGTGTGGTTCAGGATTGTGCCATTGCCAATCCTCCCAGGTGTTGTGACTCCAGGTCATGGAGTCCCTACGCTCCCAAGTGTGGTGCCTTGGTTGGTGCCTCTGACCATAGAACTTCTGTACTCGAGCTAAGGCTTGCCGAGCACGATGGTACACCTCAGTCTTTCGGGTGATGTAGGTGTTCATGGTCTCGAACTTCTTCCGGCGGCTCTGGCGGAAGTAGCGATTCAAAAACTCTGTCAACTCTGGAATCGTGGGCCTCCCCAGGCATTCACGAAGGTGTTCCAGCAAGTGTTGGACACCTCCATTGAATGACAACCACTGCGGCCGTTTTCCTGTGACATGCTTCCGAGCTGGTCCCGAGAGCTCGGCCACCAACTTTGGTCCAGCTAGGTATCGTTTGTGGTAGGGGATGCTCTGTTCCCACTGGAGGGCTTGTTCTTCGTATTCTTGGTAAGTGGAGGCATCTCCATTCCACTGTGGTACCCCATCTTTGGAGCGGGTCACTTCGGAGCTATTCATCTCCCCTTGTATCTCGGCAGGTGTTCGACGTGCCGAGCGTCACAACTAAGGTCCCTGGTTGAACCTAGAAAACTAGGCTCCGCGCTACCATCCAAGAGGGATGGTCCGAAGTAGCGATGGTTGCCCAAGAGCGTGCACTGAGGATATGGCAAAACAGGATGCGAGACACGGCAAAGCGGTGTCAAATGAATCGAATGCCCTTCTTTCCTCGAACCCTGCACAACTGCGATATGAAGCATCGCTAATGCCTTTATGAGCACAAGTGGTTTCACTTGCATATATATACATGAATCTACGCTTGCTGTTAGTTTCATAAACCCTACAGTTCACCAGCCCCAAACCATACAAGAGGGTCCGATGCTTTGGCTCTCCTGTTGGCAAGCGCGTCGCCCCCTTCGGCTCACCATGCAAACTCACAGTCGTCTAAAGCTGTATGTTTGTGTCGGCCCATTGGTGTTGTACGCCTCTGCTCAATTTTGAGATTTCTTGATGATCCATAGAACCTATTTGTCTCTCATTGTATAAGAAATATATATATATTGTATATGATTATATATGCATATCATATGTTCTATCTCTTTGGCCGTTCACACGACTGTGCGACCTCTTAAAACAGCGCCCCATCACAGCTGAGACAGATCTCTCAGCTCACTTTCTGCCTTTTGTTCGGTGCTTCCGATGCCTGCGACAGACGGCGCCACCCAGGGCCACACCCGTTGAGCTGAGGCGAGCGGAGGCTAGCGACGTATCGAACGTTCATAGCAAGAGCCAGAATGTCCGTAGTGTAGAGTCTTGATTCATAAAGAAACACGATTTGGACTGCAAAACCTCTGCATCAACTGGTGGATGCGATCCAGCCATGCAGTATGTGCAACTGGTGCCACTTACTTGAGCCTGTCAACCTGACGAGGACGTCCCTGACGAGTTGTTCGATGGGTTCGGGGGGGTTCAATGCCCCGGCCTTCGAGGACATCATGGCACAGAACTCCTGCGATCGAAAGGTCGACGGCGCGGAACACCGTCGCTCGATCCATGGTGGCACGGTGCATGTTTACGTCCCAAAGAACCGTGGGAAGTGTACATGTTGAATACAGAGACGGAATGATATACTGTATAGAAATTCTGTAGTCCTGTTTAATATTGAAATGTTTATATAAATGTATAGACGCACAGCCACAGTTCTAGAACTTCCTGATAGGTCCTATGTGGCCCAAAATTGCCCAAAATATTCAAAACGTATTTACATGATAGGTTCCCCTACCAAGAAACTCATCGCTAACATGAGATGCAACAGCAGCCCCACCGTTCCCCAAGGGTGCAGGATACGTCTCTCCTCAAAGTCAACGGCTCCATCACCATCCTCCGCCAAAAGCACCGTCGCCGGAGGTTGGCAGAGCGGAACCACTTAGACTGTTTCTCACTCCAAGGCAATGAAACCTCTTGAATGAAGTCTCAATCTCCGGTGATGGTGGTCCTTCTTTTAAGTTGTTCATATGTGTTCTCCAGTGAGTCCAACCTCACAACCGCTCCCTGCCGCCTTGTCCACCTCTTCGATCATCTTTTCAATCTTTCCTGAACGACTTCAAATCATTGATTAAATTCTTCAAAATCAAACATAGGAACCCAAATTCATTCAGTGCCCAAATCAGAAAATGCCGCAAGCAGATTTGAGCTGTCCTATGCCACAAGGCATCCCAAAACCAAGCACCATCATCTGGCTTTGAGTTCCATACACGTCACACGGATCAAGTCAGTCGTTGCGTCCCCCCAAAAGGGTTGCACGGAGTCACAATGAGCATGCCCCGGTCCCATCCTCCGCCACAGGAACAACATGAAACAGCAAACGTACTTCATCATGCTTCATCTATGATACTCTGCCTGACAACTGATGTTGTCTCAGTCTCTCACTCCCAAAGAGCTCCGAGACGGACCGAAATCCCGTCCGAAACACGGTGGCGAAACAGGTGCCCCTGCGCGCTCCGAAGAGCTCTTGCACCGAGTCTCCGTTCAAGACCTGGCGGGGGGGGGAGGCGGTCTCAACAGTGCAACCTCGTTCGAAGCGTCGGTTTTTTTTCGATTGTTTTTGGCATGTTCTTGGTTCCCTGAGTGAAATGCGGGTGGATCAAAACATGTCAAAACCAAACAGTCAAGAAGCGTGGTAAAGATGTCGTTTTCGAGACCTTACCTGCAGGATCCTGCAGGCATGCGGGTTAGACAATTAATCTTGTAAGATGATCAAAAAAGAGAGAACATGTCCTCAGGAACAGGATTCCCTACTTAAACCCATCATAACCCATCACCTTGCTTCTCTGCAGCTCATCATCTGCTTCATCCTCCCTGCCCAGCCTTCGCCAACTCCTGTGCATAGCTCACCGCGCAGGACCACCCGGCGGCCACAATCACCGAACATACCCAAAGATCATCAAACAAACAAGGACCACTCTGAGGACCAAATGCTGCGCTATACTGTGTCACACCCCTCCTCCAAGGGTCCTGGGTCCGGTCTTTGTGAGGGGACCCATGCATAGTGTGGTTTTCATGCCCATCCTGTGTCTTGGGATTCTCACAACATGCAGTAGCGCTCAGGGGATATCAGGGGATTAGGGTTGTCTGGTACTAGCTCAAAGTGGCTTGTGAAAGAGATGCTGACACTATGTTTCTTGACCAGCTTCCTGAAGGTAGCTTGCCCAGCTCTGTCCAACCTCCAAAAAAAATCCATCCTATACCTCGATGTGGCTTTGTCTCTGAAACCTATGTCAGTTCGGGAACCAAGAACCGAAAACCATCGAACACATGCGGGCTCACGTACCATCGGGTCTCAGCCACGATCCCCCATGGCGCAAAAGTCGGGGATTCGACTGATTTCCATCCATGTCATCCTTTCAGAGGTGAGTGCTTTGGTCGCTTAGAGCCAGGGATCTCAACCAGAACCCCCTCTTCACAGACCAGTCTTAGTCATACCTAAGCTCCCTAGCACCAGGCAGAAAATCAAATCCTACTTCCAGGTTCCAATCTCTACTAAACATGTCTATACCATTTCTATCCATTTCTTGAAGACCATCACCTGGAGCCACTCACCCAGATTCCTCCCGGGTGATCTTGCCATCCCCATCGAGGTCGAAAATGCGGAAGGCAGCCCAGCACACATCCTCCCAGTGGGGCTCAAGCGATCGCTCTAACCGTGGCCGTTTTCCACCAAGACTTTAAGTGGGGCGGTGCAAAACACCAACACCTCAGCACCTAAGAACACACACCCTTTTTCCACGATCAGCCATGGGCATAGAAGAGTACTATTGGTCCAAATTGACCCCAATTGTATCTCACTCTATTGGTAGCAATTCATAGACTCGCTTGGACCTAATTGACCAAGGCAGCTTGCTTGCTTGCTTGCAGGGTCTTCCGATTGACGAGCAACTACCAAGTTGGCATGTTGGCAATTTTCCAGAAGGTCCTTGTTTTCACACTCATTGGTTTGAAGCAGTTGTACGTATGTTTTCACCGACCATCTTGCGCTGCACTGACTCGTTTGCTATGTGTATATGTATATATATATATATATACAGGGAGAATGAGGTAACAAGCAACAATCCAGGTTGTGATCTCACCTGATTTGGGGAAACGGCCACTATGATTTGGGAATAGCCCGATGAGCCTCTTCAATTCGAAAGCTTCCCACACTACACTCAGCTGGGTGGATGCTCCAAGGAAAGCTCCGCTCTGCTCCGCTCGGTCGAGGGCTCCCGCTGCATGTAGACCTTTTGGTCCAACATGGCAGCCAGGAACTCCGTGTAATCCAAGCTTCCGGAGCCTCCAAGCTCTGTCCCGGTGAACCGGTTTCAGGCTGAGGTGAAGGTGGAGAGTGGAAGGAGACGCAACAAATGGGAAGAAGGAATAGCGACACGAACGCTTTATCCGCTGCCAGATGTGGATTTGGGGATAGATTTAAAAGGATCCCAGGCACGATGATTCAAGACTTCCGCAGGGTTCACCGGTTAAGACGGTTAAGACTGCTTGGATCAAACTGATTGGCTCTCTCCAAACAATGGCTGTCTGTCTTTCTGCGCAGGCAACACTGATAACTGATATTCCACAATAGCCAGTGAAAGGAAAGAAAAGCCCAAAACCGCCGTCTAATGGGTCAAAAAAAAAGCATCCGCCATGGCAGACCGGTGTTTCTTGAACAAAAGACCGGTCCTCACCCTTTCAGTCTCAGGTCTCAGCCGTTGCAATCGATTGCTTGAAGTATGTCCTGTCGGTTTTTGGGGCGGACCCCCGGCCGAGTCTTCGCGTCTTCGCGGTCCCCAAGACCTGGACTCGGACTCGTTCTGCTACTCACTCCGAATTCTCAACACGAGACAATGTGACGATGAAAACAGTGATATGTTATGATATGTTTAACTCTGGCCTAACTGATGCCGGGTCTATTTTTGGGGTTCCATGATGAATCATGTTAAGCTTCCCAGAGTCCCTTTTTGGGGACCAGAAAAAATAGAGAGACAGAGCTATAATAAAGACTTGACATGAAAATGAGGCATACTGTAACAACGAAGGTCGACCACGTCCATCCTCCAAGGCTTTGGGAGGCTTCAGCCCCTCCTGCACAATCGCTTCCTCAGCTCAGAAAAGCGCGCGGAATCCCACGTCGGACGTCCGCCCGTGGTAAGTAACACGCTCGTTTGGCCGCCTGATTCATCAATCATCAGACTTCATATCATATTCTTTTTCCGTCTCATCCCTCTTGTACGGCTACTGATTGTCTGAGTGTTTTTCTGTCAGACATTGTCTCTGAATCGGTGTGCCTGTGTTCGTTCAATGCTTCTGCAAAAGAGTCCAAACCTTTGTTAGTCAGAAGTCATCAATTTGCGATCGAAACTCCGCGATCGAAACGCAGCAAGCGGGGTACAAAGTCAAGAAGCATGCGGGGTTCACCGAGGAATATCGACTCTGAGGCGGGAACCCGGATCTCTTCCACCGAGAGCGTGCCGTCACCATTCCTGGCCCCAACAAATGCCAAAGGGTGGGCCAAAAGTCATCCCAAATGAATCCAAATGAATTGTAGGTGTTATCATGCTTTATCCAAACGCTGCAAGGGATTCGATTTGTTGGGCACAACTGGGGAGCCATCTCCTAGTTCAATCTGTTCAAACATTCTTCACCCAGGGGGGGAGCCACACACACACACCATCCACTGCGGTCAGACCACTACACGACCGGGCAAATAAAGGGATTAAAGAGAAAGCACTTGTTGAAACTACAAGTAATAACTCAAATACGGCGGCTTGACTGGTCCAATGCTCTGAAGGTCTTCTGCAAGGAATCGATCTTTTCCTGAGGCCACTGCTCTTAGGGGCTGGCACACCATAGGAGGGTGGGGTGCCTCATTGTTGGACCCGTCATAAGAGGTCAAAACCAACTGAAATGGAAAGTATCTCTCTCTGTTTGCAGTGCCTTCGAAGTCCTGGGTCCACCCAGGTTGTCTTCCTTCGATAGTAGCATGCTTGATACTCGCCACACAAGCTGTCTTGCAAGACATGGGTGAATTACAGCGTCCATGGAACACCAGTACACGCTGTCTATGCCTTAAAGCTGCCGTTGCCCTGACGAAGAACCACTGTTTGTGTTCCACAAAGCTTTCGGGCTCAATACGGAACAACTGCGAATGGCCTAAACTCATGCACTTTCAGATCTTTCAGCAGGTCAAGGGTCGTCTTCAGCTGCAAAGGCCCTAGTTTGCTGGCTTGGTTGATGTTTCACTTGGGCAGTACATCTGCCATTCCAGCACTGCCATTTTCGACGAGCCACATCAGGTAACTGCTGTGCCAGTGCCGTCAAAGCGACCTGCCCACCAGCAGAGAAGTAGCAGAAAAAACTTATTGCGCACTTCAATGTTAAAGCAACTGTCCCTGAGCTACCCCAGGAAAGCGCTACTTTGATTTGCGAGCAAGAACCAAAACTAACTTTGCTGCAGAAACCTCGGCCAAGGATCACAGATTTGGGGGATGGTCAAAAACGTCCCTCTTCTGGATGTTGGGTGAGGAATTAAATTGAATTGATGAGCATTAGAATCCGTTTTGGGTTCAATGTCCCAAAATTCCCCAAAGAACCCAACCAGCTCAAGCATCTGGCTCGCAAAACCCTTCGCCGGCTCCAAAACCCTGCGCCTTCTTCAGCTTTGAAAAGGCTCGGAAGCCCGAGAGTCTGAGCAGCGGGGCCGTTGTTCGTCACATCGGTGGTGACATGGGTCATGTGGGTCATGGCACCGGGACAGGTTTGGTTGACCGCCAGGTTTTGACCCATTCCCACATGTGTCATGGAGATTCATGGGGACTCTGTAAAAAATGCCTGCCAGGAAGTCCTCGGACTTGGTACGTGGGCGATCAGTCCTCGAAAATGACCAACCCGGGAAGTCCTGTTGCACCCATTCTTCCATGATGTTCCATGAGAAGAAAGTTGAAACGCAGCGATGCTTTGAAAGGACCTCGTGTCAGCGATGGAACCAGAGACGTACGTCTGTCGCCGACCCATGTGCTCAAGATCTTCCCTTGCCATTCAACCTGTCGGATCCGATCTTCCTGCACCTTGCCATTCAACCACCATCGCCGATGTCCCAAGCGCATCGTTCCACCATCTGCCCAGGTTCACCGTCTCTCCGTTCCGAAGCGTCTCGCCGCGGTGGAGACGTGACGAACAGGAGACGCCGCGCCTGACGACAAAGTCCCTCGACAAGGGTGTGGACTTGGGTGTACCCTGGGCGTTCGTGCGGCGCGGAGAAGTCGACCGTTTTCCAGGCGTTCCGGCGAGGAAGCGAGTTCGCAGCATGACCGCGGAGAAGCATCATGATTCATGTTCGTTGCTTGATGTTGGGTATTACACATTGAGTGGCTTGGTAGAGATGATGTGTCCTATGAGGCCTATAGGGTAAGAAGAAACAAAAATGCTGGGTACAAATCCAAATGCATCAACAATCCAAAGAACGCCCTGGCGAGATCTTCCACACCGGTGGCGCACAAAGTTGAATGCTTGGCGGGCAAGCAAGGACTGTTCGCTTCATGATGTTTATATGGTGACCCCAAGCAGATAGAAAGCCGCTTCTTCAATTCTTCAAGCGCATTGCACAACGCTTTGAAGAAGTATCAAAAAGGCTAATAAAAAGGTATCCAAGAGCTATAGCTGATCGATCCCTTGCACCGGAAGAGTTATCAGCTCCGGCACACCGACCCATCAGGTCAGCACACCGACCCATTAGGTTCGAAAGCTTCTGCCGGGGCGATTTGGAAGGTTGTGCCGGGGCCTCTTCAAGTGGAGCCTGGAGATACCCTGTCTGCTCCAACTGGGCAGAAGTGTCTGGAAGCTGCGGAACTGCAGTCCTTCCTTCATCGTTTCAAGCCAAACACGCAGTGTTTCTTCGTCGCTTCACAAGCCCTCCCTGCAACATTCAGCAGACTGAAAGCCTGAAACCCATCTCCTGTCGCAATGCCAACTTCTCAAGCCTACTGCTTTCAGCTGAAAGTCCGTCCGTGAAGAAACGCCTTTCCATCAGAAGGTTGCAGGGAGCCTACAGCTTCCACAGCAGTCCTAGCCAAGTTCCTGCCATTATCCAAATGAATTTCCTGCATAGTACCTATCTCAAAGTGGTGCCAAAGGAAGCAGGTTAGGATATCACCTGTTCCTTCCATTTCATCATCTGCTCCCGACGCTTGGCAACGCATCAACGACTCGGAAAATGAACACTGTCAGACTGTCAGATGAAGAAGCGGCTTCTTCCTGGTCGTTTCGGAATGCTGCAGCATGGATCGTGCTCAACCCAAACAATTGCCGTCTCAACGATTTTGTGGTTCCGGCTGTGATGAGGGCACATCTAGTCTCTCAGCACCTACCTGACTGGAGCAGTCTGTGGAGATGGACTAAGCATAGCAATGAGATTCTGATGTCTCTAAAAGCCTAAAGATATATCATCTCTACAAATTTGCAACAAGCACGAGCAGCACGACGGATTTGCAGTCCCATTCGCGCCTTGAACTTCAACCATGGGCTCATGAGCACCAACTGCGCAAGAATCGGAGCAACACGGAGGTGAACGCAGACTCAGGCCATGTTGAATAAAGTTAAATAGGGACCCACACATATGAATACAATATAATCAATATAAATGCTGTGGTCTTCCCTATGGCAGGTGGTACAGGCTGTCCTGCATCAATAGGAGTTTTTCCGAACATGAATGTAATGTGTACATTGTTCCTAATTGCGTTCTTGTTCGTAGTAGGGCCAGGAGCCCGTACGTAGCGTCCGAACGCTCCGTTCGTGGCGATGCCAGGAGCCCCTAGTAGCGTCCCCGTTGCGAGTCCAAAACATCACCCGATTCAAGACCCGCTTCGGCAGACGCCTCAGCACTGGGACGGATGGTGGGGTCGAAGGTCAGCATCTGTGTGATGAGGTTCTTGGCCCCTGCCGTGATGAGCGGAAGACGCCATGAGAGAAGCTGCAGTAGGACTGGACTTCTGCATCGCAGGAGACGGTATGACGGTATGTATGCATTTGTGCGGATGCGGGTGACCAACTAAAGCTTTTGAGTTGGATTTGCGCACATCAGGTTGAGAGCGTGTATTCCCACTGTGTGTGTGTTGTTGCGGGGGTGCATGTTGGGCTAGCGGCTAGGATTCAAACACTGAAGTATGCATGCAGGCCAAAGAAAAACTCAGCGTATATAGTTGCTTTAAAGCGGGATTGGTATATGAATGTCTGTCTGCATATGTCTTTAACTTTTCCTCGATGTGGGGTGCAGGATTAACTACACTAAAGCACCCCAAATGATCGCCCTGTTTCTGCTGGATCCGTTTCTGAGCCCAAAGCCTCATCCAAAATGACCGAACCAAACGAAGCCTTTGGTTGCATGGAGCCTTCCTCTGTCAACTTCAGTAGTGGAAGTCACACTATATCTGTCTTTGGGACCAAAACAACAATTCAGGAACGTCCTGAACTCAATACATCGCAAGCTCCTGGTGGCTTGCAGGACTCTTTTCACCCCCAGCTGCTTGGTACAGGCGCTCTGCACGGCAGCAAACGTACGCTCATTGGCCCAGACCTGGCGCTCCAGCTTCAGAATGGCCCAAAGGATCTGTTTGGTCGAACTTCATCAGTTGTGGGCACCACCTGGAACTGCCCCAAAAAACTACTCCAAATCGGATCTTTTGAGAAATCTCAGGTGGGAGGAGATCTGATGTCTAAGGAAGACACTCGTCTCTCTCATCTCGACTCATCTCGACTCATGGCCCAATCATTCGAGTCTCGGACCGATGTCAACAGTGCCATACTCAGCCATACTCACTCTATGCCATGAACGAACGTGCATAGAGTAGTGAATCAGGATGTCTGGATTTGGACACGTCACGAGATGTCTGGATTTGGTCTTCAAACCTCTTGTCCTACCCACTACCGACAGGAATCTTTTCAGTCCTGTCCCAAACCTGGACCCAGTCATGATAGTCATGGCAGGCTTCCTGAGAATCTCTCCAGCTCCTCCCGTCTTGGGCTTCAGCTCCCGGCCCACCTGGCATCTCTTCATGCGCTTCAAAAGCTCCAAGCTTTGGCGCCAGGCGCTGGCCATGCTCAACGGGCCCAGCGCTGAATTGAACGAGATCGTGTCGCTCTCCACCTGGCGGACTGGGAGAGATCGGATAGACATCCGGTTACCAGGGCCTCAGTGGATGATGATGGTTGTGCAGATGATGCGGTTTGTTACCGACTATCAGGTCTTTCTTGCTTTCTATCCGGTCACCATCAGGTTGCAGGCCCTGTTCAAAAATACTGATTTGCTTGTTGACCTGACTGTTACAGGTCACTTCCAAACCCCAACCGTCCTGCGGGTCGGACTACCCGGCGTCAAGTCCGTCCGAGTCCAGAGATCTGCAGGTCCTGGTGGGCTCGGACGAAGTCCACTTGGTGGGTGCGGATCGCATATGAGGACCAAGCCCATCCAAAGGAAGCTCCAAGTGGCTTGGAAACATGATTGCAAGCCATTGACTCCTCACCCAATCCTTTTTACCTTTTCGAGCTCCTCATCACTTCAATTCGCAGCTTTCTTCTGACATGGGGCCCATTCATGTCAAACTGGTGAATCCCAAATGGCCCTGATGGAAAAACATGGTCCAGTAACTAGTGTATATCAGTCACACTACCAAGTCCATCCACCCATGACCCACGCATGCGGCGGCCTGCGCGCTGGTGAGGTCGGTCCACAGATTCAAAGCATCTGTCCATTGGATCTCGAGGCTGAGCATGCTGTTGAGCGTCACCACCTGGTGCCCATCGGAACCCATCGGAACCCACACCTCGCGGCTTGGTCAAGCCTGATAACAGGTGGTGACGCTCAACCCAAGGGTAGCAGCAAGACCCCCTTGGTCTGAGAAATGTTGATGCTCTGGACCTCACAAGTAATTTCACAATCTGAATAACCGTGTTTGGGAAACAGTTCCGAGTTGTTCCTTTGCGTCCTAACCAAAAGCAATGCCTGAGGGATGGTTAGTTCATCTTCACAGAAGGAAGTACAGTAAGTCTTGCCAGACCCTGAAGCTGCAGGTTTTGCAAGGGTCATTTGCACCATTCCTCAAGTGGCAGGTGAAAAGTCCAAGATGAATTGAAAGGTCCGTTCCCCCCACCCCTCGTGATGGTCGTCAGATCATCAAATGCTTTCGGGTGACCGGTTTTAGGTGCCTAGCGTGTGAGTGTTTGCACATCTCCCATCCCTCATCATCTCCCATCCCTCCCTCAGCCCCCCCCCCGGCCGTGGGGTGGAGCAGCTGAAGCACTTGCAGCTGGGCATTTCGCCAAGCGCTACTGTGTCCGGCGGCAGAAACAGCGGCGTTGGTGGAGACCGTGTCCGGTTGCAGGTTGGTGGTCTGGGCAGCAGAAACATGAATGCTTTGCCTACCTCTGGCAAATGTTGCTAGTTAGACTAGTAGCTCTTGGCATTAGTACTAGGAACAAGAAGCTACTAGGTTGGAGGCCATTATATACTACTA